ATGAGGGGTGCAGATTATTTTATTCACAGCATTACTTTCATCCAGTTTATTCGATTTTGCACACCTTGTACTTATACCAGGCCATGTGCTTTATCTTGTTTGGCATTGGCTTACCAAATATGTTCCCTGTTGATTGAAACAATATTATGCTAAGCATGATATCCAGTTGAACAGGTAGAGTGTCTAGCCAAAATGCTCCACAATTTGTAAACGGTCAGTTGTCACAATTTTTGCTGCATTACGGCGATATGATGATGGCTGGGTTATGATGACTTTCCCTGGAAATAGTTTTTTGGAAATCTTTTTTTATTCTCACGATGGCCTGTGGCCAATAAGAGAAAATGATACACACGCGGGGATTGGATAAAGAGAAATCGAAGTAGAGCTGTTTGCTGAAATAGTGACGATTGTAATAATATAGAGTGCCGGCTGGGAACAATGGGGTTATAGGTGAACTGAGCAACATGAGCAGGTACATCCGGACGAGACGACAAGTGGTAGGATGTTTGCTTTTAAATCTTGTCTGGGGTTGGTCTGCCGGAGGCTGATTGGGATGTTGTTAAAGAGATCAAGAGAAGAATAGATGGGGAGTCTCTTAGCTGTGTTGTGCTCAAAGGTCCTTGGAACCTGAGCGTGCGAATGGGTTTTATTCGTTTTAGGTGGATTACAGTAAGGTGTAGTGGTGCATATCTATGGCGCAGGCTATGTGCAAGACGAGCTTGAAGTTTTGACCTGTTACTGTCTTCAATATGACTCTTTACTGCCTGCTGGTGTGTCTGCTCCTCCTTCCCAACAGGCATGTATACAAATCATGTTCGGTGCCCAGATGCATCGGTACATATTCCACTAGGATACAATTTTGAAACGGTCAATCTGACAACCGGAGTGAAGATTTGCAGGGATGTTGGTATGGTGATTGCTACCGTTGACACTACCAACCTAAACCCAATAGTTGCGCATTGTACATATGATATGATATTCCATTATACACATGCCATTACCTTTCAGGATTCTTCCGACCTTCCCTCTATCCATTCTTATCGTTCGGGTAAACCTGGAAGATTCGACCGTTATGGGGGGTTCTATGCTGGTGAAGCTAGAACTGCTCGGGTGATTTGTGCAGGTGAGTTTTGTTCTCTGAAGAGAAATTTTCGGGAAATTCTGAACTCAATGTGATCTTTAGCATGAATATATTTTGGGGATAAACACAGGCAAAATGGGCTTGGACATTGGACATTGTTGACCCTTTTCTCGCTCTATGATACTGCTCGAAATCGCCCATCTATGAGCGACATCCACACAAATTGCTGGGTGGGAGCTTGTGAACATAAATCTCATCCTGAGCATCTCTTTTCTTCTTCTTTTCACAGGCTTACTTTTTATTTCAAAGAAGTCCGACTTTTTTTAATCTTTCTTCAAGGAAAGTAGACAATCGATCACTAGGGCAGAGGACAAAGGGGTCTAGTTGGAGGTATTGTACGGCACATGACGACTATACACACAAATTGGTAAATTTCGACAATATAACCTTCACAGTCGTCAGTCGAAATAGAGTGTAATAGTACATTTGAGTCGCGCAGACAAACATACATTTTTTGACTTTTCCTTCCTTAATAAATGAACAACCTACAACAACATTTGCAAACATAGCTCCAGCTGCCAGCTAAGGCAAGTGGTTGCCTCAGACAGTCAATTCACAAGACCAGTTCACCAAGTCTGGCGGCGACTCTGACATGGACTCGGTTTTAAAATGCATAGCAGCGAAATCCCTCACACCTGCAAGGCCTTGCGGGGCCAATTCCAATGCACAAAGAAGCAAGAAAACGTAGAAAAAGGCAAAACCCAGACAGTCCTAGGTAAGTGCAAGGTATCTACACATACATTACGGATTGTGATGTAGTGTAATATCCCCACACATGTCTGCCTTTTTGTATAATAATTCACTCAGATGGAGAGCCAAAGTTTAATTTATACAAAAGGGAAAGACAAACAATAGGAGGACAGAGGAAGTGTTTTTACTCAGAGTTTCACGCACTAAGCGATCATCAGAAAACAGTAATTGGAAATCTGGATCAGTATTGGTTTATATCCTCACAAAGCAAAGTGTAAATAGCGGCAGTGCAAAGCGTGAATGACAGCAAGTGGTGAAAGGTGACAACCACTGGAGCTGGTTGTCTCTTACTTAATTAGGTGATGGCTGTAGCTGGTTTAAAGTTCCGAAGGTAGTACCTATTCTCATGGCGACACTTCGACACAAGCTCACTCCTTTTGTTTAGAGAGAGGTGCTTGGGTGCTTGCGCGATTGCCAATTTTTCCGCCAGGCACTTGTTGCACCTTTTGCTTTTGTTGCTGTAGGCCGCTGCTCTGCGGTGTACCGCCCATTGAATGCTGCATGCCTTCCCTTCATCCTTCTTGGTCCAGACGTACTGCGATAGGCGGGTGTCCTTCTCGTGTTGTCTGTGGCGGAATGAGGATTGGTGGTTATAGTAGCGTTGTTTGAATGTTGTTGCTGTTAATCCAGTATATTCCTTCTTCTCCATACCTGCGGTGACTCTTGCCTTATATACGATACTCTCCGTTAGACACGCTCCGTCCAGTGGACACGAGTCTTTCGCCCGACAGTTACAAGTCCTGGTATCGTTGTCACCTCCGTTAGCTTGTTTCTTGGGTCGTAGAATCGTGGTATTGTGTTGCTTGATGATAGTGGCCATATTCTGCATGCAACTGTAGCTAACCTTTACAGAGTTCCGGTTGAAGATTTTGTTGAGGCTTGAGCCTTTGGGGAAGTGTTTGGCCACTAGCTGGAGGAAGCGATGTCCAACGTTGGTGGCGACGTTCTTGCTAAATGGTGGGTTGAACCATATGATGTTCCGAGGGCGATTCCTTTTCTTCTTCTTCTTTGTCTCGTCCGTTTTACGCTCGTCAAAATACTGTACGTTCTCCCGGTATCCACTCTTCCTCAGCGCGTCACTGTAGATCGGAGTCGCATCTATGAAGACGTCTTCATCATTGGAAATATCTGTTAGTCTTCTGCTGATCGATGCAGGTAGGTTCTGGATGATTGTAGGTGGATGGTTTGACTGGCAGTTGATGTACATCGGCTTGTCGTTCGGTTTCCGGTAAGGGCAGTACTTTCCGGTGGTCAGGTCCAATGTCACGTCCAGAAAGTCGACTCTCTTCAGGTTTGTCTGTATCGTTATCTTCAGTCCGAGGTTCTGGAATATTTTGTTCATCTCCTTTCTTATTCGGTCAGCTTCATGTCCTGATGCATTCCTGAACACAGCCAGGCCGTCGTCGCGATACAACCCGACGTCTCGGCCGTTGAACACGTCCGCTATCATGGCGAGGGCGAAGGCTCCAACAAGCTCACACACCTCAGCCCCATCATAGCACCCCATTGTGACGTCAAAGTGCTCGTTGTGTCTCTTCACCCAGTGCCTCTCCAAGCCGAACAGCAGAGATCGCCTGGCGTGGAATATTATGTCACCCTCCTCCTGGGAGATGTCCGTGTAGCGGCGGGCGAATTCGACGGATCTCTGGAGGAGGTCTTCGGAGATTGAGGGGTAGAAATCTACGATGTCAAAGCACACGAATATGCAGTTTTCTTTCTCTGGTATTCTTGAGAACCACTATATCACCGCTGCCGTGTTCCTCCATGCATTAATCTGCAGCTGGGGACGGAGTTGTTTTAGAGCGGTATCCAGTATAGACTTCGAGACTATGCCGATTTCACTCTTTGAGGGATTAATGAGCCGGCATGGCAGGGACCGGGAAAAGTTGTCTTTATGGTCCTTCAGCGTGATGTATGCGTCCTTCTTCGCCATTGCATCCATTCTGTCGTCCAGCTCCAGCGTCGCAGCAATTGTCTGAGCTTCCGAGTTGATCTGGTCGTAAGTCTCTGCCGGTGTAGGTTTGTAATGCTTGGTGATGTTGTTGCTCAGCAGCTGGATTACTCACTGAAGAACATTCCCATCCCTTCAGAAGACGCCTACACTACGAGGCTGATCGAGAAGGTTGAAAGCGTGTTGAAGCGGATGCGGTGGAAGGCGTTTTTCTACCTGAAAGGACCGACAACCGACGATCCAAAAGAAACCTATGGCCTCAAATCCCGGAAATGTCCGCCCCAAGTCGACGAACTGAAGGCGTTCGAGGACGATGCGTTAAAAATGATTGAGATGATTGAGTTTCGTAGAGTCGCTGATCCCTTTCAGCAACGACTCCGAAGCGACATCCAGAAAATCAGAGCATCACCGGACATCATCGTGCCAGCTGACAAGACCAGAAACCTCTACGAAGTCAACAAAGAGCAGTACACAAAACTGCTGAGCAACAACATCACCAAGCATTACAAACCTACACCGGCAGAGACTTACGACCAGATCAACTCGGAAGCTCAGACTCAGCTCTACCACTCGGTATTGAGCACTCTCTTGGACAGCCTGGAACCTCTCTGTTTTTCAAAAGGGAAAGACCAAGAAAATACAAGTTACGCTATACTGCCAACTAACACCACCAGTTGCTAAACAATCAGCTCATGCGATAACATTGCACGACACTGACCGACGGTACTGATGTTCTACAACTACCTGGCTAACAGCTCTAGCACATCTTGGATGCGCACTCCAACAGACTTCCAACTTGGAAGGTTCTAAGTTATAGAAATTACCCCCCAAGTTCCAAGATGTGCTAGAGCTGTTAGCCAGTTAGTTGTAGAACGTCAGTACCGTCGGTCAGTGTCGTGCAATGTTATCGCATGAGCTGATTGTTTACCAACTGGTGGTGTTAGTGGACAGTATCTCTTAATTTGCTTAATCCTATATATAGGCACAAGAATAGCAAAAAGTATGTGACCAATTCTTCCTTGCTAGGTCTTAGTAGATATCGAGAGTTGAATGAGATAATTTGTTCAAACACTAACATCTTAGGCTCATCTCCTTGCTCAATATAATTAAGGCCTGTGCCCTATTTTTCGAATCCTATATATAGTATTTGAGATTTTATTGGACCTTGTTGTATCCTTAAAACTGGTAGTTTCATGGCGGCATGTGCGATATGTCATCATGAAACCACCCTGTGCCACACCTGCAATGTTCTTCTGCACATTCACTGCTTCAGTCCTTTCCATGACAGCAGCTGAACAATTATGCTCAAATTTCCAATTATTGCTGAAAATGGGTATTCATCAGAAATATTATCGCCCTATGAATCTAAAATGTAAACATTCATGCATCAAACATATTTACAACTTCCATGAAAACATTATGCCGTTATTATTAGTTGTGACGACCAATAACAACGGCATAAAAGGCACACATTTTCAAATCCTATAAATAGGATTTTGGGCCAGCAAATTAAGAGATAGCGTAACTTGTAGTTCCTTGGTCCTTCTCTTTTGTGTATAATAGTTATTATACTTTTGGGGAAGAGTGTGTTGCTCCCATGTACTTCAAGTAGGGAACAATACACTCTTCGGATCCCCTACTATCGCTGAAGTCGCACCAACCTCTTCTTCATGTTATACTTTCTCCGCATCACTGTTAGTTAAAATTGTCGCTTTGCACTTCGCAATGTTTGTGACTTGGCTCGTCTTAGTCAGACTGTCGAATTCGCTGTTTTCCGTGTTCGAACATTTGTGCGACCCTTCCTGCGCAATGCCTTCTTATAACTGAAGCCGTGGTGGTCTCGGACTTTGTCTGAGCTCTCTTCCGCACGAAGCAAATTCATCTCGCTCCGCACTATTCCGCCCCAGAGCGCATGATATTATCGTTTTTCTGGAGTTCATGCCGTCCCACAACGATCGCGTGGGCATTTATCAAGACTGCAGCTCAGGTATATGAATCCTGGTATCTCTCCTGAATACGAAATGCTGAAATTGACCATGGCAAGAAGATAGTGTTCTCCAATTCCTAAAATGCGCTACTTGTGGCGCATGTTGCTGCGAAGTTAGCAGGTCTGAAAACACCAACAAAATCAGCGAAGTGCTTGCCAAGGAAAGAAGTTGTGGAACTGCTTACCCTATCCCGCTGGAAGGTCGTTACAGTGTACTTGACAAATGCTAGCTTGCCTTCATCACCTGCCACCTGGAGGCATAGATCGCTTGAAAACGAAGTTTCTAAGAATCTT